TGTGTTGTGGGGTGCACTGCACCTATAATGCAGCTACGCAGATCTTTGACAGGGAATGTGCATTTGTTGTAAAAGCTAGACGTGCATCGCATATCGACGAAACAGAGGGTCATGAAGAAGCAGTGCACTAGATCACACATTGCTAAACACGCTGCCCATGACAATTGCATAGTGCTAGGTGCATCTCACATCCTTTGCAAGCAGCATGGGGCTGCTTGTGAGCCATGTTGGAGCTATCTAAGTTCAGAGGAAGACACAGACGCATAAAACTCTTCGCATCACCTGATCTATGTACTTGATGGCACTCAACCTATTGAACAAGGATCTTTTGCAGCCCACAATGTGGTCCAGTGTAAACATAGATCTCACTACCTTGACGATCTCACCTTCGAAACCCACGGCCAGTTATAGCAGCTTGGCAACCTTGTTCGGAATGGAATTGGAAGAGGGAGCAATCTTCACCTGGACCAAAACAAGGCTCGCTAAGAGCATGAGGCGCTCGCATCACGGTGATCAGGAGGATGCTTCTGGTTAGATGAGATTGTGCGCCAAGCTTGCTTGAGGCATCAATCCTACCTACTTTGGGCCCTAAACGCCATAAACGATGCCTACTTTGAGATCCAAACTCTGCAAACCATACCTGCTTTGCACCCGACCGAAGGACAGTGCTCGGCCTGAGCGACAGCAGGCTTCAGCCTCGGCAGTGCAACAGTTCACAAGGTCGTATCTGGACGGCCGCCCTCAGCCCGCGCACACAAATGTTTATGAAGTCCCTTGTTGCGCGTGATCTGATGTGAAGCTCGTCACAGGAGAGTTTGGCCTAGGCAGAGATTGGATCTCCAAGGCAAAGTGCAGTCAGGGCACGCACTCCTCCACGCATAGTGCTGGTGGCCAGTGACCTCAGGCACAGGGCAAGCAAGCAGGCTAGCCTTTGTGCTTTGGCTGCAGGAAACTGCACAGACTGCTCTCAAGATGAATGTCTAACCCGAGGCCCTGGGAACAAACCATCTGCAGCATCAACTGGGGCAAGGGAACCTTTGCTCGGGTAGCTCCAGGTCTTGCACACAGAAGAAATATCTTCCAGGCCCCGACTCAAACCGTAGAATTGGTCGGTTGTTGGTGTCCTTGCTCAAGCAGAATCTCAGGATGGTGAACATAAAATGAAGCTGGATTTCAGTTAGAATTGTTACAACAAGTTTTGAGGGGTACAGTATGGTTAGCTAGCATCCCAACCTGAGCCCCAGAAACCTGATATTCGCCTCCATGAGCCACAGCGTTATCCGGAACCCACCACCGACGCCGCCCACACCGTGATGACACCAAGAGCAGCATCAACACCAGCTCCACCAACAGCAGCAGCAGCACCACCACCACCACCACCCACCACCACCGCCGCCGCCGCCGCCGCCGCCGCCGCCACCGCCACCGACAGCAATGATAATGATGCCTGTACTGCTCATCTGTTTTTGGCATTCCTCAGCTGCCACCGCCACTGCTGCTGCAACTGCCACAGCCGCTGCCGCTGGTGCTACTGATGCTGTTGATGCGCTTGATGTTGCTGGTGCTTTTGCTAATGACAAGGATGAGCAGGAGCAGGGGCACAGGCAAAGTACGAAGAGCAGCGAAGTCAGGGCGGCGAGCTCAACTAGAGAACAGGGTACCTTTGATCCTGTCGTATGTTGATGATGTTGGTTCCAGAACGCTGCTCGTGATGGTCGCTGCAAAGCTAGTAGTCGAAGACGGCTGATGATGATACTGCTACTGGCACTGGTGCCATTTTGTATTCCAATCGCCTTTACGACTGCCGCTGCGACTGTTAGTATTGTTTGCTGCTGTTCCTCTGCTGCTCTGCTCCTTGGAAGGCCTGAGACTGAGGCCATTCGCACCGCGGTGCGGGGCCTAAAGCGTCGGCGAGACACCTTGGAGAAACTTCTTGGGCAAGGCTGTAGTCTTCTGCCTTCAGATTTGCTATCAATTGCATCTTCAGACTCCTGCATCTGGTTCCAATTTGCTGCCCATCTCCAAGGATGCAGCTTCTGTTCATGTGTTTTATGCCTCGCGCATACTCGCACCATTGCGACTCTATTCCCTGCGCCGGGAGGTTGCACAAGGCACCTAGAGTTTTATGGGTGGCTTCAGTTCTCAACTTGAGCGCCAGCGGCAGTTCCCATGCTGTACTGTACGGGCAACACCGACTCCGCAGTCGTGTATTTAGACCTCCAAAGGACAAGAGAGCACATTTAGACCTCGGGGCCAGCATCAGCTGCATCACCCCGGAACCCCCACAATTACAATTGGAATCCAAGCGCTCCCGAAATCATGTAGAATCCCACACGTCTGAGGAACGGTCACGGAGAAGTTGCCAAGTTGATCAGAGGTCCAGAAAGCCTGCAGCGTGTCCAGGTTTTCACTTCAGACGATGAGCATACAGCAGGCACCGCGTCAACATCGCGACTATGGCCTGGTCTACAGAATCCCAACAATATCACCTTTTGACATCCTATTCTTTCCGTGCGGAGCCAGGCAAGGAGTTCAAACCTATGTGCACGGCTGTGCAACCCTTCGCTCCACCTCAGTCCTAGCCCCTTGGCGTGTACCGTGGCCCGAGCCGTGCACTGAATAAAGCATTGGCACCACAACTATTTTCAACCATCTCACAAGTCACTCAACATCTGTTGCTTTCCGCACCTTCGGATCTGTGTTTGGCGCGCTCAAGCGAACCTGCCACGGAAATGGCATTCACCTTCGAACATGAAGCCTCGACACCTGAATTCGAAACACTTCAAGCACGAAGCTGCTAGAATGAGCCGTCGCCGAGGGCAGATCACCATGCGACCGAGGTGACACTTCTAAAGTGCTCCTTCCATGCTCTTCTTACGCCCTTTGTTTCCAGATATTCTTTCAAACTCGATCCGCAACCTACTCACCAAGAAAAAGCCAACCCTAAGAAGCTTGGCAACACCCTAGATCAGAACCCCGAACATCCCTCGACAATTCCAGGAATATCATACAAGGCCTGGTTCTTCGGAGATATCTAACTGGAAAATTGCAGGACAACATACCTGCAAAGGGTCTTCTGCTCACAGCAATCAACATCCACTCCAATCCTCCGCTTGCCGAGCGAGGGCAGCGGTGCTCGGGGCCTTGAGTCGGGTTGATGTGTCAGAGGTTTCGGGCAAAATGAGAGAGTGTCAGACCGTGGCTGTAACCCTGCATCACGCGCTGGTGTGCCGTTCTTTGCTACAAGTAACGTGTGAATGAGCACTTCTCAACTCCAGCTGGAAACACATGGACCCCAGAATGACTATACCTCAAGGAGCCAAAGTCGAGAGGTTGTTCTTGCTTACTTTGCTATGGCATCGCGGTGGCTTGGCGCCGGCATTGGCGTTTGGATGTGCAGTGGCATGGCTTCCAGCGTCATCATTTTATGAAAAGGGAGCTTCTCATCGTGCTGCTGACACCGAGAACTTCATGTCCATCTAGAAAACTTCAGGCCTATGCATCCCGTAAGTTAACACTCTGGATCCAAGCTCGGAGGGCCTTTAATCTGGTCTCTTCGAAGCCCTACATAGAAATCTGTCAAGAACTGTGCTCGTATGAGCGGACCCGTTTGTTTCTTCCATACAAGTTGCAAGGTGAAAGCGGATGTGTCCGCTTCCCGTCACAGAGCTCAAAGAGGATGCAGAGCAGACTCTGACAAACTTCTGGGCTGTAAGTGGCATTCAGGAACTCAAATCAAAATATTTCCCAGTGTTATAATTCTGGCTGTCTCACCTGACAATTGCTGAGGCAACCTCACATTCAGGGGCGTCAACCTCCTCACTGATTCGGTGGAGGTTTGCGGAAGGTTCTTTGGAGGTTTTCCGGTTTGCGTGGAGGTAGCGCTTCAGTATACAGGTAGGATGCAAGGATCTGTGGCTACTTCGCTACTTCACTGCACCAGCTGTGCTGGAGCTGTCTGCCCTCCCAGCTGTAGTCGCAGAAGAGGCAATCTGGGTGCTTCAAACATGCACGTTGAGAAAAGTTTGGACGTATCAGAGAAACAGAACAGGACTGGCAGTGCTGTACGGCACCCAGAGATAGGCTGGGTAGCTCTTTTTGCCCCCTGCCCGGAACACACGCTAACAATCACTGGAGGCCCAAAATGATGTGGCTAGCGCATCTCGGTCTTGCCTACCGCCTGAGACACCTAAGCTGGAAATCGAACCATTCAGATACCGCTTAACTTTCCTGAAGCTCACGCGGCAAAGCAATCAGTCTCTTACCTGCTCTGGTCTTTGGTAATGACACGAAGGCGCTAGCTGCCATTGTCCTTCAAGTTCTACCGACACAACCCTCAGTTGTGAATCAAACTTGCGGGTACCCTTGTCAGGGAGCATCAGCGAGAAATGCAGTTGCCAGGTTGCAGATCTTTCCCATCACGATGGTCAGGCAAATACCGGCAAATACCGTACGAAACAGAAGAGTACAGTGTACAGGGGTAGAACCGTGTGAGCCAGCCACCTGGTCCCAGGACCGTCTGTCTTGTGGGCATATCATTGCCCCAACTCAGCAGAATCATTTGGGCAGGGCTCAAAACGTGTGCCAGGCTATGACCTGCTTTGCTTACTGTTCTTCAGTGTAGGCAGCCTGAATGCTTTCGAGCCACGCCTGCGTTTACCTCTACCAGCGCTCTCAGAAGCAACCATGACGCTTCGGGCGCATAAGGCCTGCAGATCTTCCAGGAGCAGTCTGGGCTTAGCACGACAGCACAGCATGTAGATGCCAATCCTACCTCTGCGTCAACATAAATCATGAACAAACTTACACCTGTCACAAGAACCTAGTGTGACAGGCTACAAGTGCCTGCCCTGCAGCCCATCGCAGCCTTTGCCGTCTCAGGCACCTGCTGCAACTCCTGTCAGGATGGACCATTTGCAGCAACCACGCTGTCAATTCCGCTTGCTCAGCTGCGCTCACGATGCTCATGCAACACCGGCAGCTTGCCCCTCGCCTCAGGTTCAGTAGCCATCATCAGCTGCTCCGCGAGCATAGATGCGACGGTCATCGTCGCGGTCTCTGCCTCCATCCTCAGCCCAGGACAGGACAGGCGGCAAGTCATCATTCCACATCAAAAACACATGCTGCGGGCACCGCTGCTAGCTTAGTGGATCATGGCTTTACAAGATCGAGGCGAGCTTGAAATCTCTCCCATCGATTTAACTTGCCTGCTTCTGCCTTGGACTCCAACAACAGAATTAATACTTCAGCAAGTTTGCATGTCGTATTGCTGCTTCAACTTATCACGTACTTGCCCTTGTTCCGACCGGCAAAAACATGCCAACCCCCAGCACTGGCCCCACCAAGGGCTCTCCTCGTCTCCCCGACGGTCATCGCGACGGTCATCTCGCCGATCGTCTCGCCGGTCCTCTCGCCGATCATCCCGCCGGTCGTCCCGTCGCGGGCGACGCGGTGGCGGGGCCCGTGAGTCAAGGGAGTCTGCGTCATCTGGCAGGCAAGGAACAAACAGCGTTGGCACTTGCGCTTTAGGCCACTTGTATAGAGCCCACAAACAGGGTCAAGACTTCTGCGCATTTATGCGAGGTTAGCAGTGGTATGTTTCATGTTTCTACTTTATTCGTGCCTGAAAGTGATTACCTGTCTCAGGGTTCAGAAAGGAAGTGAACAGTGCACCTTCTTGAAACAATATACTATATATAGTCTGCAACGGCAGGATCATGACAGGCCAAGATCTAAATCATTGGCTGCAGCCAACGGGTTCTTTGGCGCGGCCTCGACCTAAACACACACCTTCTAGTTTCTAGATGACCAAGACCCCCCAAGCTTTTATAGTTGAATTGCCTGCGCTGCTGAGGCGGAAAAACCCGCGAGCTTAAATCTGAAAAACAACAACATATGACACCCAACTGGCCACATACATGGTGCATTGTGGGTTTACTGGCAAGTCGCCAGCTTCTGAACTCGCTTTCACCTCGATGGACTGGTATTACGCAGCCTTCAATTCAACAAGGTTTTCAAGACCCCTGACGAAAGCGCAACTCGCAGCCAATAGCCGAAAATGACCGCATTCCCTTGGCAGCCTTCGCTGTCCCTCGAATCCTCCAGAGCAGTAGGCAGCTGAGGGCAGCGAAGATTTAGCTGTCTCTAGGCTGCTACAGCCTTCTAGAGATGGGCTGAAAAACCTGGAATGACCTCAGGCATCAAGCAGGCACGGGGAGCCGAGAGGCTCCAAAAACCTTGAAAGATGCCTTTTCCCAGCCATTGACAGACAGCCCAAGTCTGGAAGCTCCGTGCAATTTTGAATGTCCTTGGCACGTCGCTTGCGTGGCTTCTTCTTGCCTTCGCCGCCTGCTTCGGAGTCCACGTTTGCCGTCGGATGTTGATAGGATTGGGATGCAGCGTTCACTCTCGTATGTGGAGTGCTGAACAGAAGATCAAGTGCGCGTGTAGCTTTAATGTGTGCGGCCATGGGAATGCAGGGGCTTCTGAGATTTTATGAGCAACAGCTGCGACAGCAGCAGCAAAGGCGGCCGCAGGCCTGAGGCTTTTGAATCTGAGGAGCCCATACTATACTGGGACAAGCTTCCCATCCCCTGACCTCCCTCCTTCGCCGCACCTCGCCGCTGAGGCGTCACTCGCGCTAGCGATTAAACTACTCTGAGTAGGTCACACCTGGCACAACGATTACGCACTGGATAGTCAGATAGAGTGTTCAAGCTCACTGTTGCATCCCAAGTAATCTGAATGTCCTAGACCCTGACACCCAACCTTCACGGTCCTGGCCGCGCTTGGACTCTTTGGTTGGGCGGTCCTGGCAAGGTCTGATACACTGGCTCTTCTGGGCTGGGGGCAAATCTGGACGATGTGCGCAAGGTTTCTTCCGAGCCTTTAAAGTGATGCTTCAATGTCTTAGCTCATCAGTAGCAGGCCGACGGGGAAGCATGCGCCACATCATGTGGCAGCTTAGGAGGCAAAGGGTATGTCCTCTAACAAGCTCCAGTATGTATTGGATCTCGTGTCTATTTGTTGACCCTGGCCGCAGCTCCGGTCGCCCAACTTTGCCATCCCAATCTAGCGCACAGTTGATGGCTCGGCTATGAATTAATCACGGGTTCACCATTTCCACCATGCAGCAAGAGGCGGAGCATGTTGAGAAATGAAAGGCAAGCAGTACTTCACAATGCGGGAATTGGGACCAGCGGATTTTGGAAACATGTAAACGAGCATCTTGAAGACAATACTTTGAGAGCTCTCCGGCTTGGTCACAAACGTCAAACATGGTAAAACGTACCATATTAAGCACGATTTGAACGGAGAGTTGAGCTTTCACCAATTCAAGAAGCATGCATTTCCAAGGCTTGGGGCTCGGAGACTGTTAGAAGTTCAGAAGGTTTGACTGGCTTTCTTGTTTCCGGCGACTGGGGCTCCGAGAATCTCCATTTGAGAGGGTGGGGCTTCGAAGTTCTTAATCCAAGCGGTGGTCTGAGATACTGGAATGGATTGGTATGGCGTTTAGATTCATGAATAGGTTTGCTTTTTCCTCTCCTTCTCCTTCTCCGCCTCCTCTTTTGTCTCAGGCAAGGCTTTCAGCTCTTTATGAAAAGAGTCACTCACCCCTATCTGATCCTGCAGCCTGATTTGCAACCACGCAGGAGATATGTCAGCTCAACTTCTGGCCCAGAATTTGTTAAGAATGTTTTGCAACCCTCCAGCATCCCGCACTGAGCAGGTCAGGGCAATCACTCGCATCAGCAAGCGCTCAGCACTCTAGCAAACAGCATGTGCCGTCCGCCACATCATTGCTTTTTGAAATGGAAAAACTCTGAGACATGAAAGCTGTAAGTTAAGGATATGAGGGCCCGCTGGGCTGGCAGATGGAGATGCTTCTTGGGCGTTTGCACCGGAATGACCTAAATGTGCGGCACGGCCCATGGGTCCTTGGAAGATGCCGACGAGAACCTGAGTGGCTCACTACCATCCGAGTAACGCTTGCATGAAAAGGGGAAGGGCTTTTGGCTCGGGAGTTCTGAGCGAAGAAATGCGAAGAAGGCTTCACTTCCTACAAAAAATCGGCTCGACGACAGTCCCTAGGCCTGAAAACATGGAAAGGCTCAATCGAAAATCTGCTTCTGCACGCACTACGTACTTGCAAAACCTAGCAGGGAGGGGGGGGTTGTAACCACGGTTGAAATAAACGCTAGAACCACGACCACTTTTTAGGGGAACCAGGCTACAGAAATTGACAATCCCGCGTTTTTTCTGCGAGTCCCCCAACGCAGCCTTCTGTCAGCAAAAAAGTTGAAACGGCGGCTCCCGGCTGGCTTGGGGCCAGGTGGGCTCGGGAGCCACCTCTGGAGGCCTCTTGTCGACAAAAATGCTGAAACGCACCAGATTTAGAGCCAAGCCAAAACCGACTTATCTACTAGACATACGTTTTCCCAGGCCTCACTGTTGGATTCCCTTCGGGCATCATCCGATGAAATTGAAACAAGACAGAGAAAATTAGCGTGGCCCCCGCGCAAGGATGACACGCTCATATCGAGAAGTGTACCAAGTTTTTTGTAGGCCCATGGTCCTACATACTTTGCACACCTCACTATCGGATTCCCTTCAGGGATCATGCGATAAAATTGGAAGATTGGCATGGCCCCTGCGCAAGGATGACATGCACAAATCGAGAAGTGTACCAAGTTGTGTTGCGTGCCTATGGTCCTCTGCATCAGCCCATTTCTTTCGCTTGGAACAATCATGGTGGAAAGCAGTCCCTCTAGTGCTTAATTCCGGTTAGTGCGCGTTCTGGCGCTAGCAAGCCCAGCTCCTTGGTCTGCGCCTCCCCGCTAGAAAGGTTGCTGTTGCTCTTTGATGCTGGAGCCACCTCTGGATGCTGTTTATCGGCAAAAATGCTGAAACGGTGGCTCCCGACCTGGCTTGGCCACCTCTGGAGGCTTTTTGTTGGCTTGGGAGCCACTTGTTTTGGGGGAAGGAAAAGTCTATTTTCTTGACCTAATACAAAAACAATCAATCTGATCACCTCAAGGCAACAAGCAGCAATGGGATTGTACTTCTAAACGGAGAATCCTGTAGTCTGCTACCAACAAACCCCACCATGACAGG